ATGCATATACAATGCAATACATAGATTACAAATACATAAATACCATAGAGTTGTTGTTGTTCAGTCGCACAGTCGAGTCCGACTCTTCGTGACCCCATGGACCAGATCATGCCTGGCCTTTCTGTCTTCCGCCGTCCTCTGAAGTTGGCTCAATTTCCTGTTCGTTGCATCTATGACACTGTCTAGCCATCTCATCCTTTGCCGTCCCCGTCTTCTTTGACCTTCAATCTTTCCCAGCATCAGGGTCTTCTCCAGTGAGTGCTCCCTTCTCATTTGGTGGCCAAAGTATTTGAGCTTCAGTTTCATTATCTGGCCTTCCAGGGAACAGTCAGGGTTGATTACTTTTAGGATTGACTGATTTGATCTTCTTGCAGTCCAAGGGGCAGTTATCTAACCCTATATCCAAAGAGATGTTTGTCAAGGATGTGTTCTTGCACCACATCTATTCAATTTATATCTAAATGGCTTTGTCCCAGGTCTTCAAAACATACCCACTCATGCACCATCTGTGGGAAACTGGCCTGCCCTGTTGTATGCCGACGACCTTGTCTTATTATTGAGGAGTCAGATTGGCCTAAAACGTGCCATTAAAGCATTTATTGTCTACTGCAATGAAGAATTATTGGAGATAAATGAGGACAAGTCCAAAATTATGGTCGTCACAAAATCAACAACAAGATCAAACAAAAGATGGACAATTGGAAGGTACAAATTGCAGCAGGTCGATGAATTCAGATATCTCGGAATTGTATTCCAGCCAAACCTATCATGGTCCAAGCACATTAAATATCTTAGACAGAAAATCGACCTAGCCTTACTAGCCTTGAAGAAGTTTTTCTACATCCAAGGAGCTCAATATGTGCCAGCACTCCTGAAAGCGTATAAGACCTTAATACTGCTGTGTATACTATATGGTTCCCAAATCTGGTTCTTAGGTCCAACAGAGCAACTTGAAAAACTACAGCAAGCCTTCTTCAGTAAAATATTAACTCTACCATCATGCATCGCTTCTGCAGTCATAATGCTTGAGATAGGCCTCCCCAAAATCTCAACTCTGATCTGGAGGGCCATAGTTATAAATATTGACTGTTAAATGCTGAACGCCTCCCAACCTTTACCATATTGACAGAACATGAACGTTGCTGGTCAAAATGGAATGATGCTGTAGATGCGAAAACAAGCCAATTGGGCTTATGGAAGACAGAGAACTTAACCTAAAGAAGAGAAGCTTCACTCACAGAAAAGTTGCTCCAAAATGATTGGGATGCTTTTCAAACAGATGCTAGATGAAAATGCTCCCCAGTTCATCTAGGAATTACATATGCCACCAAATTTGACCTGCCTTTTTACTTAAACTTGTTGACTATTCCAAAACGGAGGCAGTCATACATGATTGCACCCTGCAGTGTGTTTCCAACAGCCCAGATGAAGGGCCGTTTTCTCAAGACCCCTCTGGACTAGCAGTACTGTGACTGCCCATTGACAGAACTTGACTCATTATGTCATGTCTTCTTCTGCTGTCCAAAACATGCAGCGGCAAGAGAAAGATTCCTAAGAAAATGGCTGCAGAAATATTCATCTTTTCCTGATGCAGCAAGATTAAGACTACTTCTGAGCAGCCTCTGCCAAAACTGCACTGTGGATGTGGCAAGTTTTTGTTTTACTGTTCTTTTAAACTCTTAAAATTTTCTTTTTTATGGTGTATGGCCTATGGGCTATAAATAAACGTAACTTGCTGATACTGAATAATGTGTGCTCTTTGTCTTTACTGTCATTAAAATTTGGGTTTTGTTTTTTCTTAGATCCTTTGGGAAGATGAGAGAACTGCAAAAGGCCTGTCCAGAAAACAGTCTTTTGTGGATCTTGGTTGTGGAAATGGTCTTCTGGTCCACATCCTAAGCAGCGAAGGGGTAACTTGCTTTTCCTCTCTCACTGGCTTTTGTGACATGAATTACGTGTATTATGGGATTGCTGGCTCTGCACATCCCATGTCCCCCTTCTTCCCAGGTCCAGGCTAGAGAAACTTCCTGGCAGTGCCTGTAGTGATGACCAGTGTTCCCTCTAAGCTGAGTTAGTGTGAGCTAGCTCAGAGTTTTTTAGCCTCCGGGTCACGCATTTTTGTCCCGAGCTCAAGAAGGATGGCTCCAGAGCAAACTAATTGATGTAGTAGCCAAATCGCTCGCTTACAACTTTAATGCCAGTAGCTCACAAAGTAGAATTTTTGCTCACAAGACTCCACAGCTTAGAGGGAGCATTGGTGATGACAGGTTTTCTTCTCCCACCTGTTCCAGTGCTTAACTCTAGAACCTCTTTTGGCTCTCAGGGCTCAACACTGGAGCATACACTGCATTATATAAATGACCTTTTTTGACTTCCATCCCTTTGCCCTGTCATAGTTTGACCCTGTAACAGACCCTGGCTCAAATTGGAGGCAGTTGGTAGGACTTTGGGGCGGGTGGGTGGGGAACCTGCTGTGCCCAAGAAGTGGGAGGTTGCCATGGGCCAGGCTTAGTCTTGATCTCACTCATGATTCTGGACCTATATTTTGCTATGTAAGCGAGTGGGTGCCATTCACTTCGTGGGGGGGGAAAGAAGCAATGCACTTCGGGTGTGGGGCATCCTTATGTGCTCCCTACCACCCCCAACCCCATCCCCATCTCCAGTTAATAATGGCCAGAGCTCCTTTAAGTAAGTGCCTTCTCAATTAAAGAAGTCTAGCCGGCACCCTGGAATGAGAGCTCGGGACTTGAAGGGGAAATTGAAAGTATCCGCAAGCAGACCTGAGCCCTGCCTGCTGTTCCTCCTTCCAGGGGTGAGCGTTGGCCACCCTCCCTGGGTTTTCATGAAAAGGATTGTATTTCAGGGAGCCAGGTGGAATTCTACCCATTGTTTGTATTATTCTGGGTAAGAGAAGTGTTCTTGAATTGTAAAATATGATGAATATCATTTAACGAATAATGTTACATGAAATCTTTCAGCATTCTGGCAAAGGGATTGATGTTAGAAGAAGAAAAATATGGGACATGTACGGGCCCCAAACACACTTGGAGGTACTGTTTTTAAAAAGTGTTCTGTACAATGTTTTCCAACTTTTTATTGCTCAAACCTGTGTGGTTGGGTTGGGTCTGTTTTCCGCAAACACATTCTTCGAAATTAACTCCTATGACAACAAAACTAATGTTATTATACACACAAAAAATCAAAGTGCAGTGTGGCATGGTATACAGGGCTGTATTGACATCCAAGATGAAGTTGAAAATGTTTTCAGTCCTGCCAGAGAACACTGAGAAGGATCAACCAATCCCTTGAGTGAGGGGAGGGCCCTTTCTGCTTGTGCAAAGGGGAGTGGGCGTCTGCAGTTCAGGCCCAGCCCATCTTAAGCAGCTTTCATTCTCTCTGAATCGACTTTGTTGCTAATATGGGATGGGTCCTTATGTTTTATCAGGGTCCTGCTTGAGGCGGTGTACAATTAAAAACCACAAAAACTCAGGGCTTTAGACGTGAGAAACTATCCATAAAACAGAGCAAACCATTAAAAAAGATTGTGATCTATACCCCTGGTTAAAAGCCAGCTTGGCACCTAAAAGACAGTACAGCAGCACACAAGAGGCCCTGTTTCTGCCTCTGAAAGAGCAGCAGGGCTTGAGAGACAAGTAGAGGAAGAGACATTTTGGTCTAGCATGATGGCAGAGAGCCTTCAAAGCTGTTAAAATAATTTAAATTCTGCAAATAAATAATGACCATGTAGACGTGACAGAATATGGAAGAGGCAATGAAACTGCAGCTTAGTTAACATCATCCTGAATTGAGTTTTTGTGGGTCCCCACAGAGTCCTGCTGTGGACATTAATTTCTGGCATGACAAAGGGCCTCCTCCTTGTGACCTTCTTGTATTTTTATTTAGTGAAAGGCTGAGTTAAGGAAGTACAAGAAACTTACTACCTTTAGAGTACACAGAAAACAGCTGTAAGCCACTGAGGCATATGCGTAAGCTGCCTATGGAAAGGCTAATTCAGTCTTGTATTTTTATTTAGTGAAAGGCTGAACTTACTACCTTTAGAGTACACAGAAAGCAACTGTAAACCACTTGAGGCATTTGCGTAAGCTGCCTATGGAAAGGCTAATTCTGACGTGTTTGCTGAATTGGCACTAAATACTTGTAACCTTGTAAGAAGTACTTGACTTATTGAGCCTGCTTTGGACCCTGATTTAGTTATGGTCTGTTTTAAAAAATAGTTTTCTGACCAGTTCCCTGTGAAATGTGGAACTGCGCTTATTACTTAGAGCAGTAGCCTCCAACCTTTTTGAGAATGAGGATCCCTTTTTGATGTCAGTTTTTGTGGCCCTCCACACGACAGTAGTTATGATTGGGATCCCTTGATTAAGAAAATACATAATGAAGAAAAGCTACTACCCATTCATTTTTAAAGTGTTGCTGAGTTCATATTTTATTAATTACAACAGCATCCGTATACATTTGACAAACAGTAATACATACTCTTTATTTGGTCTACAGAAGGTATATGTGCTTGCTTACTATACGGAGTCATTTAATGAGATGACGGCTGGAGGCCTGGTGGAAGGGTAGAGGGTGTAGACCGATGATCTGATAGACAAAGTGTAAGAAAGCCTGATACGCTTGTAGGGTTGGGGTTAGGGGGGGCACAGACCTGCCCAAGCTGGATGGGTCCGTTTGCCTCTTGCCATAACTCTTCCGCAGAGGGGGGCACAGAGATAGCCGAGAAGGGCAGTGGGCCAAGGGCCCTCCTGGGGCTGGGGGCCCTTCTCTGTCCAGGGAAACACTTTGCAGGATCTTTAGAGGGTGATGATTTGTTTGAAAAACAAGCTTGGGTAAACATCCGGGCTGCAGGCCATTGAGTAGGTAATGACATCACTATTTATTGATAAAATATGTGTGCCCTTTTTGGGGAGTTGACACTACATCCCAGTAAGCAATCCATTGGCTGCCACAGTTTGAAACCTTCCCTCACTTGTAACTTTGGTTTCGCAGGATGCTGACCTTAATTTTTCAGCCTGTGTTGCTTTAACTGTGGCAAGACCACACTTCAGTGCGTGATTTGTGTGGTAATCTATGTCAGCGGCCAGTCCTTGGTGCACCTGCTGGAAAAGGCTTGCTTTGAAGCGCTGGGTGGCCTTCCCTGCTCAGTCATGCTTACCTGAGAGGCTTAGTGCAGGCCCCATCGTGTCTGTCCTCTGGGCAGCTGTGAGCTGATTGCACAGCACTGTCCCAAGCTTCCTCCTGAAAGGGGGGTGGGGTGAGCAGCTGTCTGTCTTCATTACTAGGATGGAGGTCACCCTCTTCTTCACCTGTCTGAGTGCTGTGACTGTCTTTCAACAACTCAGTCTCATGTCTAGTAACCTTGTTTTGCTTAGACATGACTGTAATAATACTTATAACCAGAAGATACTGAATCCCTTACCCCCGTCGAAGATTCATGGGGAGAGACACTCTGATGACTTCTGCAATAGACTGCTCATCTTCTCATTTAAGAGCCTGCGCTACCCCAGCTGCCTACTCAGGGGCAGTGGACCATGTTAGACATGGCTTCACTGTACTTGGCTGTGTATGAGTAAAGGGATCTGAAATGGCGTTCTCTGTAAATAAATTGCCATCCAGCTGTTGCAGCACCTTTCAAAGGCCCCTGTTGTAGTGTGGATGTTGACTGGTGATGGGAGTAAACTGTAGTTCCAAAATCCTTTCCCTTGAATCTGGCTATGAACTGTTCTCAAAATGCACAGCTTGACTTTCCCAACCAATGTTATTTTAGAAAAATAAAGTATGAATAATATTGGCTGTAATAGATTTCAACTGACTATATGAATAGAAAACTTTACCAACATTTTAGTTTACTTTTTCTGTTGTTACAGTTCCATCTTCTCTGTGTATCTTGGGCATGTTTTATCCTCAAGTATGTCTCGCTTTCTTTTAGGAATGTGCAGTTAGTCCAAATGATCTGCATCCAGATGCTGATTGGTTAATTGGAAATCATTCTGATGAGTTGACTCCATGGATACCAGTAATAGCAGCCAGGTACTCTTTGCCAGACCACAAAGTAACGGGGGTCACTGTGACTTGGGGGTGAAGAGCCACTTGGGAATTCTTCATTCCCCCCCCCAAACAAATTATGAAGTGCTGTTCTATTAGCATGCATAGAAGAATGCATAATGAAAGTAGAACAAATAAGAAGCCTATGAAGTACGTTATTTAAAACCGTACCAGCTGTTTAAAGGCACAGTAGTATGACCAGGGTTTGTATTTAAAGCTGCTGAGTTAATGAAAGCTGGTGGTAGAAAAGCAATGAGTGGTGAAAGCAATGAAACACCGTGTTTGTTTGTTTTATTTATTAAAACATTTGTATCCCACCTCTCCTCTTGGTTCAAGGTGGCTTACAATAATAGTTAAAACATCCTCAGCTAAAACCGAAGGTCAAATGACCATCTCCCAATCCCCCCCCCCTCCACTTTGAGGAATGCCAAGTGAAAGGAACAGTGCCTGACAAGGACAGTTTTGATTCATTCGAATGAAATCCAGAGAGAAGATTGTGCACTATGACAGGAATCACTGGGTAAGAGTTCCACGGAGAGCACTGCCTCCACAGAGAGAGAGACGGGCATTCCAGGAGCTGGCTAGCTCGATCCGAGTCCAGCAGCACCTGAGAGGCCAACCAGATTCTCAGGGGAGGAGCTTCCCAGGGTCAGAGAGCTCCCCCTTCACTGGGCAGCGTCTGGGTATCTGGCAAAGGGAGCTCTGACTCTTTCGCACGCACACACACACACCCCACAACCTCGTGGGTCTCTGAGGCGCTCAGTGGCCAGCTGGGGCTGAGTATCCGAGAAGAGCCTGATGCTTCTCACAGGGCCCGGGGTCAGGCTCCTGGTGCCCAGAGGGAGGAGGCCGAGTGCTCTTTTGTTGAAGGGAGCAGCACTGAGGCACCACCCCCTATAGAGGAAAGCCTGAACACCAGGTCGTGACGTCACCAAATGTAGTCATAACAGTCCCTGAACTCTGCAGTTGCCAGCTACTTTCACAAGTGTTTTAACTTGCAGTTTCTCGTGTACTCAACAAGATATTCTCTTGATTCTTTCACTGCAGTATTCCAGATTCTTCACACTAGCTTACACTGTTACTGAGTTCAGTTTCCCTTGCATATTTGAGTGTATGTTTCGTATAATTTACAAGCATATAATAGCGGAAAGTGGTGAATGTCTGTTGTATGATGGAAAGAACAAAACAACAACAATGAAACCACTGCTCCGCTAAAATACTAATTTACTGGGAACTGTCAGATCACCACTGCAGAACGGTTGTGAAAAGAACAGGTTCATGTGGTTTAGTCAAACAGCAGACCAAAAACAAACTGAATTAGCAAAGCTAATCTTAATATGAAGATTCTCTTCTTTAAATTATTACTTGGATGGCCAACAGTAATAGTCACAGTAGATTATATCCGTACGATAGAGAAAACCAGCCAGGGAGAAAGAGACCAGCGTCGTCTTCTCCTGCTCTAGTCAGCCACACAGGGAATGACTACATGGGTCGCCATTACTGTGACGTCAGGACCTGGTGTTCAGGCTTTCCTGGCCCCAGAGGACCAGGACAGCAGCAGAGGAGACACCAGCGGCCAGAGCAGCA